ATTAATCATCAACAAATAAATATAGTTGACATAATGACTTACGACAACTCTGCCATATGCTGAAAAATGTTTCAGCAGCTCGATTCGGGTTGCGCTTGGAGGCACGTTTCCTATGAATATCTTCTCGGTCCTGAAGTTAATAGGCTCTGTCTTGAAGTATTCCACTGCGCTCATTCAATTGACGGAATCGACCGGTATGCACACGCGTAGCACACACTTTAATCAAGCCGTTAACGCCAAGCCGTACACTTCGTACAGCCAGCCGTACTCATTTGCGCACCACTCACAGAATAGTTACGCAAACTGTAGCCACTTGGGTAATCTTATTGGGTTCTTGTCACTCGTCGCTTATGCAGTCAGCCATTTTTGGGCTTGTTTCTTCATGCTATTTTGTGCCACAATTATAGCGTTAGTATATATCGTTAGTATCCACAATAGCTCGGGTACGAGAACCATTAAAAGTAATTAGGGGATTGCCAATCGCATGCTTCGTTCCAATATCTGACGAGCCCATACGCATGGACCCCTTGACAAACTCACTTGCCAGACCCTCGAACCATGTAACTTCAATCGTGGCTTCCGGATGAAACAACTTGAGCAAGTTGTTTCATCCCACACAGATTGGTCACGGTGCATCCAGCCATTCATCAAATCACTGATGGCAAGTCGATCAGCAAGGTAACCCACATCCATCTGCATTTTCGACATGAACACGCGCGTTCAACATGAAAACACCGTACTGCGCGTCGCACACACACACGTGTGGGAACGGGCGGTTGAGCGTCGCCGACGTGCGTGGTTCCTTGCTGCCACTTCGCACGATTCAGCACACGACGATCCTGACGATTCAGCACACGACGATCCTGACGATTCAGCACACGACGATCCTGGCACACCATTTCGCCCTGGCACATGATGACCTTTGAGGCCTCAGCGGAAACGAACAACTTGTCTGGTGACCATGTCTGCGCTCAGGGGGCCTGTATTAACGCGGTCGAGCCAGCCACTATAAATGACGGAGTGAAGACCTCTCTAAGGGAATCAGAGTCGCGCTCGCAGGTGCAGCCGGAAAAAACGTCGAAGAGAGAAAGAGCAAGGGCAGAACAAGCAGCGGAGAAGGCAGCTCAGCGGGAAAGGATAAAGGCGGAACAGGCAGCGGCTAAGGCAGCTCAGCGGGAAAGAATAAAGGCGGAACAGGCAGCGGAGAGAGAAAGAGCCAAGGCAGAAACGGCCGCGGAGAAGGCAGCTCAGAGGGAAAGAGCAAAGGCGGAACAAGCAGCGGAGAGGGAAAGAGCAAAGGCAGAACAGGCTGCGGAGAAGGCAGCTCAGAGGGAAAGAGCGAAGGCGGAACAAGCAGCGGAGAGGGAAAGAGCGAAAGCAGAACAGGCAGCGGAGAAGGCAGCTCACAGAGAAAGAACGAAGGCAGAACAAGCAGCGGAGAAGGCAGCTCAGAGGGAAAGAGCAAGGGCGGAACAAGCAGCGGAGAAGGCAGCCCAGAGGGAAAGAGCAAAGGCAGAACAAGCAGCGGAGAAGGCAGCTCAGAGGGAAAGAACGAAGGCAGAGCAGGAAGCTGGAAGAAAGGCCCCCGCTTCCGGCACCTTATCCGGCGCCAATGGTTTACCCGCCCCGGCCGGGTTCGCGGGAGACGAAAGCAGAACAGGCAGCGGAGAGGGAAAGAGCAAAGGCAGAACAGGCAGCGGAGAAGGCAGCTCAGAGGGAAAGAGCAAAGGCAGAACAGGCAGCGGAGAAGGCAGCTCAGAGGGAAAGAGCGAAGGCAGCACGAACGCCGCGCAGGTTGGCCGAAAGGGCGCTGCTAAGATGGCCCAGCAGGACCGGATCGAAGCCCGTGGGGAGAAGGCAGCTGGGAAGGATGGAAAGGGTCGAGGTCGCCGGAGAGGTCTGAGTTTGGAGGAGAAGGGGCACGTGTTGGAGCACTTCATGGCAAAGGCGGAGGGGATCTACACGATGAAGGAGTTGGAGAAGGTGGGTCCAACTTTGGGGGTAATCCCGCAGAGCGTAAAAGACGTAGTCCTCGGACTCACGAAGGAGAAGCGACTGCGGTGCGAGAAAATTGGCTCTTCTAACGTTTACTGGGTCTTTAAACACGACCTAGCGACCTCACGCAAACGCGAAGCCGTGCAGCTCACACACTCTATCGCCAAACTCTCTCGAGAACATGCAGAAGTCACCCGCAGAATCACCACCGCCAAAGATGGCATCACAGCAGGGGATGACGGTATCATATCGGATACCATGCCCAGTACCGTCGCCCATACCACCCCCGGATTCGCAGCCCAAACAGTGGGAAGCCTCGCACTTGCAGACCGTGTGGAGGAAGCGTCGGGCGGTGGCGGCGAAGACACCGCTCGCACCATCGCCGCCCTCCGGACTCGAGTCGCGGAGCTGCGATTCGAAACCTGGACCTTGCGGTCAATTCCACACGACTTGCCCGCCCGGACGGCGCAGGCCGCGGAGGCCGTCACGCGCTTGCTCGACTTGAACCCGCGCCCCGAAGCCATTCACTTATATCCATAAGAATACCCGTAACTAGCATCCGTAACAGTATCGATTACTGGCTCGCGTTATTCACAAAACGTGCAGTTCACCATGACTTGCTTTCGACGGAGAGCATCAGCGACCCCCGCCATGGCGAAGTGGTGGTCCACTTAGTGATCCCTCGCTCGCTCGCTCGCTCGCTTGGTGGTGGCTCGCTTGGTGATCGCCCAGCAGCACGACTCGGAGTTTTTAGTGGTCGGCCCGTTGTGGTCAATTAAATTTGCCCCGCGAAGCATGAGCCGAACAAAGGCGTCCAAGAAGGCCTCTCCAGTTCCAGTGCCGCCGGTCGCGGGTTCGAGTCCCACGACTGCTACGTCAGTATTGGGTAAGCCACTGCCGGCAGTGCTGGGTCTCGGGAGCCCGGCGGTAGATTCAGGTGTTGGTGAGAAACCCGCGTGGCAGGACGCAGCTGCGCGGGCAGCCTGGGAGACTCGGCGCGCTGAGCACGAATCAGATGGCAGCGAGGACAGTGACGAGTTTACTTGGAAGGGACAGAGCACCAAGTCTCGACACCACGCGCCATCGCGAACCTACATACTCAACGAAGCCAACGTGACCACCAGTGCAAACTTCAGAAGAAAACTACTCTAGATTTCTCCTCAATATCCCCAAGGCATTGTCCCTGTTGCAGAGCATTCCCCCGAAGCCAGTCTCCTGGGCTAGACGCATATCTGATGTGCACATGGTGTATGTGTCGTGTATTGTCTGCACCGTAGATGTCCGAGCGCATAGACCCATGGCTTCAGTGCCCTCCCCACACGGCTAGTCTGTAGCCAGCTAGTGTCTCCCGATGAATAACCCGCTCGCCGGTGAACAGTTTTTACAAGTTTGAACTGCAGCAATCGGGCTAGACTAGCGGATTTGATACCGAGTGAGTCTTGACCTGGAAGAGCGAAAAATTTGAACACATGCAGCAGTTACAAGAGGAGGTAGAGGCGCTGAAGAGCGAACTCAGACGCTCAGACGACCTGTTGCTCGCGTCGTTGCGGGTGGACTTGTTCCGTAAGGCTCTCCAGTCTTGGAACCGTCAGAGGTCGTTTGCGCACTCCCGAGCGCTGGCAGGTTCCAAAGGACACGGTCCTTCCGGACACGGTCCCTCTGGACACGGTCCTTCCGGACACGGTCCCTCTGGACACGGTCCCCGTGGGCACGGTCCCTCTGGACACGGTCCCTCTGGACCGGGTCCCTCTGGACCGGGTCCCTCTGGACACGGCCCCTACGGTCGGGCAGTACCTGATCGGAGGGAGACGTCCCAGACTGGAACGGAGGCGCACGAAGAACCGGTTCAAGATGGTGTTCAAGGGACAATAGCCAAGATGACTGATCAGACGGTTGAGGAGACGGGCGACAAGGTCGGCGAGAACGTGGGTTCCAAGATCTCTGAGAACATGGACCACACGGACAAGATGGGCGACAAGGTGGGTGATAAGGCCCGTGCGAATAATGAGCTGGATCGTGTGACCTTTGGCAAGATCAAGATGGCAGTGTTGAGAGCCATGGATGAGCACGGCGAAGTGATGGAAATGCTGGAGGACCCGGGGCTATGGGAAGGGTTGCGGTTGAACTGGTGGAGTTTGGTGCCGAAGGATGAGGGATTCCTGGAGGTTCAACAGGAGTTATGTGTGCACCGACTGCTACAGGACATGCGGGGACGTAGAAAATCGACTGCTAAAGTAAGCAAGTCGGCTAAGGATACGTCGGCGAAGGATACGACGTCGAAGGATACGACGTCGAAGGATACGACGTCGAAGGATACGACGTCGAAGGATACGACGTCGGCGAAGGACACGACGTCGAAGGATACGACGTCGAAGGACACGGCGGCGAAGAATACGGCGGTGAAGGACACGGCGAGCAAAGCTGTTGGGGCCAAGACGACTGCCCGTGTTGCCGCTCCGACGGGCAAGTCGGGTGAGTATAGACCGGGGAGAGAGGTCGTGCCTCAGGACGAGAACGAGGCGCCGTCGCAGGGGGTAACGGGGCCCTCCAAGGGCGCGGACAATCGCCGAAGGAGCGTGCCGCAGAAGGAGGGATCGAATCGAGCTCTGGTCGGTCGACAGTCACGCCGCAAGAGACTGCGTGTCGAGAACATCAGTGGCACTTACAAGGAAGAGACTGGCGAACTGGCCAAGCCTGATGGCAATAACTCCACAATAGGTACGACCTCAGCCGGTCTGAACTCAACAGGCTTGAGTGTGCCGGCAAGCTCGACATTAGTGGCAGGGTCGACATTAGTGGCAGGCTCTGTTCTGACAGATATCGGTAGTAGTCGGGAGGTAACTGGAGACAGCGGAATGGGCAAGAAGAAGTCCTCCAAGAAGCGGGCTACAAGACGTACGAAGAAGCCAGTCATTTTGACGGCCCCTGCGGAGGTTACCCATCTGGACCCGTCGAACGTAGCGGAGAAGAGAAATGAGGAGAGAGCGGTGGAGGCATCAAGCGTAGAGGCGGAGTCGGAGGAAATGGCCGGGGAGGCAACGGGAGTTGTCGTCACGGCGGAAGAGAGAAGCGTCCAGGGGGTCGGAGTCGCGGATCTGGACTCATCTCCAAAGCCGGTGGCAACCTCTCTTCAGAACGCGCTTCAAGACGTAGACGAAACTTTGCTCTCGCAACCGGGCGACTCGACCAAAGTAAAGTCGCTGTCGGGGGAGTCGCCACGGGGGCGCTCACCAAAAGAGGACTCACCGAAAGGCCAGTCTCGTCTTAACGCCCCCCCTCGACCAGGATCGGAAGCTTTGAGTAATCAGAGCCCCAAGAAGACTAAAAGACGTAAGCCTAAGGACGAGTCCAAGGACGAACTCAAGGAGGAGGAACAGAGGGAGGAGCAGCAAGAAGGGACCAAGGACAATGGCGAGTCAAATCACGAGCCGAATGGCGAATCAAATCACGAGCCGAATGATGAACCTCCGCAGGAGGGGTCCGACTCTGCTCGTAAGTCAGACTCTGCTCGTAAGTCCGACTCTGCTCGTAAGTCCAAGACGGGGTCGAAAGTTTCAGAAGTGGTTATTAGTTCGAGACCTTCGGAGTTGACACCCGCGAATCCCAGACTCGCTGGCCCAGCACCTGTCGAGCCAGCACGTGTTGAGACTGCACCTGTTGATACAGCACCTGTTGATGCAGCACCTTCTAAGCCGGCACCCGTTAAATCAGCGTCTGTTGAGCCGGCACCCGTTGAGCCGGCACCCGTTGAGCCGGCACCCGTTGAGCCGGCACCCGTTGAGCCGGCACCCGTTGAGCCGGCACCCGCTGAGCCAACAGTTATGGAGCCAACACATGTGGAGCCGGCACCGGTTGAGCAAAGTGTGCCCGGGGATTCCGTTCATACTCCCCCTCGTCCAAACAGTAGGGGCTCTTCAGGTAGTGGAGATGGTGGTTTGGATGATGCTCACGGAGATCAGCGAGAAGTAAAGTCATCGCCGGACGGCGAGCCTAGAAACTGAAGGGGGGGCGCGTAGGAAACGTTACCGGGGTAGCATTTTTCCGAGACAACATTTTTCGGCCGCAGCTGCAATCTGCGCCGCCGCAGGAGGATGACTCTTTTGACGCCGGATTATCGGCAGCAGGTGCGCGCAGAGAGCCAGACAAAAATTGAGCGAAGTAGGAGCCCACAGGACCTCGCGAGCCGACAGGTGCTGGACCGCACAAACCGACAGGTGCTGGACCGCGCGAGCCGGCAGGTGCTAATCGAGAAATGTCGTCTGCTTTCAAGTGAGATAGCAGCAACGCGGACGAAGATTGTTCAGCATTTGAATAATTCGAATCCCAGTGGCGGCGCACACGTGTGTGCAAACCCTTCGAACAAGGGCACGAAAATTGATTTGGCGATTGCAGCGGAGGACATGGGCACCTACTCAAACAGCAATGCTTCCAGCAGTCTACACTCGAGTAGTCTACACTCGAGTAGTCTACATTCCAGCAACCTGTCGAGCGGTAACCAAATGCCCGGCCGCGCTACCTCGGGTTCCCAGGCGAAGGTGAAAGTCAAGGGAAGGGAGGAGCCCGAGGAGACCGGAGGACTGCTTATTGAGGCGGTCCCTCTGTATAATTTGCTGCTGGGAAAGCCGTCGTACAATGAACTATCAGAGCGTATGACAGTCCCATGTTTGACCACCCCCCCTTACCATGTTTGACCACCCCCCCCCCCTAGTTTGACACCTCGTGCCATGGTGTAATGCGGGTGTGGTGATGTGTGTTTTGGTGTGTGTAGATGTTCGTGTGAGGCAGCGCGAGTTTTTGCGGCAGTTGCGGAGTGTTTATCGTATCAGCTTTCTGGCGGTTCGGAATCGGGATGGTGCGTTGCGATCAGGTCTGAACATCGGTTCGGTTCCGCTGATTGGGTTTCCGTTGGTCCCGGCTGCGGGTCTGTGTACGGCTGAAGAAGCGTTTGGGAAAGATCAGAGTCAAGGAGGAATGACAATATACCGCGGGGGCCGGGCTGGTTACCACATACCGCCATATCGATCGATTGATTTGGACACAATCACGTTGTTACAAAAATCTGGCCCCGATTGCACGGCTGGTGCCAGTGGATTATTGTGTGACTTCTTAATGCATGCAGACAAGTTACTACAGAGCCCTCAAGAAGTGGCTAACCGTATAAAGCAGAGTCGTGGTAAATATTTCGCGACTAAACCGGGAGTCGAAGATAGCTCTAGTGAAAAGCAATTGATTCTACCAACGGAACGAAAACTGTTCACTAATACCTCTGAGTACTACAGCATACTCACCGCAATTGCCCAACAGCTTTGTGAAATGGTATTTAATATACTCTATCAGGAATGCTACAATCCAATCGCTGATGATCTATTTCTCCACATCGCAAATCTTTGCCACATCACTGACCTATAACCCCCCCCCCATCACTGACCTGTAACCCCCCACCC